ATGGTGAACCCTTTGACTTCAGAAACACCAAGCAACCGCACGCGTCCCAGGAGATCCAAGATTTAATAATTAGCTAAACAAAGCATGTAATCAAAAAAAGCATAGTAATTTGGCTATAGTGAAATTACTGCAGAACAAAACGGCTATGTGTGCGTGTGTGTGTGTACAATAAAACAACAAGAATAGTTCAGAAATAGGCAAAAGATTTACATGCTACTGCAGTCTTCAACGGATTTGTGAAATATAAAAAAAACTGTGAAATTATGAAAATGTATATCATAAAAAAGTATAAATGTAAAAAATGTGCTGAAAGGGTAGGCAGCACATCATGTTATTTCACTCAATAGTGATATAAATACATTTCAATGTTTGAATTTAAAGATATTCTCGTATACTTTACCTGTAAACAACTGTTGTACTGTTTCCCCCGTGTAAAAATGAGTAACAGTTATTAATTTTGCAGTCTACTACAGTAGCAACTAGAGTAAACATGCAACTAAACTAAACCCTAAACCTAAAGTTCATGAAGTTAAATCATATTACTCAGTACTTAAATGTACAATTACAAAGGGCAAGCAATAAAATGTGTGATTTGAATATTAGAAATAGTATTCGCTTGACAAAATAATCAGTGCCAAACTAAACACATCTTTTACACTGTATTAATGCTAGCAGGTTGTTTACCAATATGTAGATTACAGCATTCTGGGTGGTGGTACTGCTACTTTAATACCCTAGTACTAATGACATGTAAGTTACCATTACATTGCACTATAACCATATTCATCATTCATGTTGTTACATGCCATGGTAACGTTAGTTTGTAATGTTTGCTCGACGCATTCCAGCTCAGAATCAGATGAAGTATATATTGACACTTCCTTAACGAGCTAATCCAGCTAACGTTAGCTCATGACATGTAACGTTAAGGGCTGAATGTGTGTATAACGCCTTTAATGAGCACATAACTCAAGCCATTAAATTTAATATCGATGATGTATAAAAGATGTGATGACATAACGTTACCTGGACTCTTCAAGTTATATTTGCTCTCCATGACAGAACAAACCTCGCGCTAGGCTGGTATTTTCCGTTCAGGTTATTTGGTGTATGAGTGTCTCTTGGGATTTCGGCCAGGTGTTTATCTAGAGCTGTAATCCTGACGTGGCAGCACTGAAGTTTCTTTCTACTTTCGAGATGAATTTTCTCAGATGTCACAGGACATTAAAAAAAAATGAAAACAGGAAGTAAACTTAGCATTTGAATGGCGGAACTTTATTGATGCGCTTCACACGAACAGCCCTATGTGACGTCAGCCGCCATAGCGAGTTCTCAGATAAATGTATTTTTTTAAAGTTAATTAGCTGTTTATTATCCTTGGAAAATACCATATTCACAAATGTAAATGGTCTAATTCACAACCTTGTTTTAATGCATTTCATTTGGACTTTAAATTATATTACAAAAGAATAGAAAACATGGAAAACATGAAGGCTACAAGAACATTTCATCTCCTGAAGGAACTGCATATTTTTTAATTTTTCCCCTTCTATCATTATAATAATTGATTTGTTATTATCCTCTGGTCTGTACACTGTTGATTTAATTTTGTTGAACAGGTTACAGTATCTTCTCTGTACCTATTTTCCTGTGTATTGTTCAGAATAAAGTAAAAAAAAAGTATTTTTTTAAAGAGTATGTTTGAAGCTATACATCAGCAAATTATAAATTTTGTAAGAGGATGTAATACTTCTGATGCAATATGTGTAAAATGTTTATTGGAGATATTGAATTGTAGACTATTTTATATTATGAATATTATAAAAGGTAAAACATCACCTATCATAATCTTATTGTGAATAAATGTTTAAAATATAAACTGAACTAAAACGTGGAGAATTTGTGAAAAATACAAGTAATTTCTTTACTGATTTACATTTTTGTTGTTGCATGTTTTATCATCGAGTTCCCCCTTACAGCTGTGCGGTTTATTTTCACAACACTGTGATTTAAAAAAAAAAAAAACTCACTTGCGGCACCTTCCTCCCGCTTTCTACAGCTGCTCAAGTGCATTTGTTATTATCGGAGCCGGACAACTTTATTGTGAAGAGCTGTCTACCAAGTGAGTAATACATCAACAGTATCATAGAATTATGTTGAATTGCCATAAAGCAGTTCGTGTTTCTCACTCTTTCTCGCTTTTCACAAGACTTCTATTTACAACTTACCGAGATGGTCCTCACTGCAGAACACGAAATCTAGGGGGAGGAGTTGGATCCAGGGAGGAGTTGGATCCAGATCCAACTCCTCTCACCTTACCTTTGCTAGGATGTTCTGGTTGGTTGCTAGGGTGTTGCTAAGTGGTTGCTAGGGTGTTCTGGGTGGTTGCTAGGGTGTTGCTAGGTGGTTGCTAGGGTATTCTGGGTTGTTGCTAGGGTGTTCTGATCCCCAACCCCACCCCTAATCCTACCCATCTCCGCCCCTTAGATCTGGATCCAACTCTGCCCCCTGGATCTCGTGTACTGCAATGAGGTGCTACTGGACTTACCAGGACGTTAGTGCCCATGTTGCAAGGTTGGTTTTCCGCTTGCCTGGGAACACCGGGGGAGCGGGGAAAGTCACAATTCTCTCCAGAACAGGTTATTGAACCATTCAAATGATTTCTAAACAGTTTTATCAAGTTGAAATAGTTGCCAAGTGCCTCTTTAAAATGTTATGGTAAGACCACAGGCAAATGTTTTGACTTCGTTTTTTATATTCTGGATGTTTAGCTAACTGTTTTCACATCTTTCTTTTGCTGATCTGAACTTACAAATGCACTCCCATAGTTTTAATTTATGTTTGAAGTTTTCATTTATGCTCCCTGAGTTTTCAGTCACCAATCTGGCACATATCTTTCGTGGAGGCGGGGCTACTGAAAATATGTGTCCAAAATATGCTTCAAGTAATAGTTCATGTTAAAACAGACATAGAACCAGTGGCATTCAAAGGTGACGGCTCTGATAAATACTCTGTCTATGATTGGATTGAATTGACAAAATCTCAGCTAAACAAACAGAAGTGTCCAGTATCCAACCAAGCTGATGAAATACTGTCGAGATTAATGGGCAAGGCAAGGGATATTGTTCAAATTGGGTTGAGGAGTCATGTTTCTTTGGATGTGGTTCAAAACCCTGACATAATCTATTATCCATAGCTGCTGCTCAACTTAAGTACTTCAGCGATGCTTCTTCTTGTTTGCCTCTGGCTGATTTTTATTTTTATTCAACATGTTCATTCATTACGTCACATCTGTACACATAAAGAAGAGTCTCGGCTAGTAGGCTACATTGAGTCATTACGTTACATACATTTACATATACATTTATTCAGTCGACGCTTTTATCCAAAGCGATTTACAATTGCTATATATGTCAGAGGTCACACGCCTCTGGAGCAACTAGGGGTTAAGTGTCTTATTCAGGGACACATTGGTGTCTCACAGTGGATTCGAACCCAGGTCTCTCACACCAAAGGCATGTGTCTTATCCACTGCGGCATCACTACTACTTCACTACTAGAGAGAAGAGCAACACCATCCCAGGAGGGATGAATACCATCTCACCAGGTCTGCCCCAAAAAACTTTTTCAATTATCATTTTTATTCATACTAGCAACGATTTAGATTGAAACTTTAATATGCTTACATTTTTCAAGAATAAAATCAACAATCTCCAAAGGCGAGATCTTCGAGCAGCTGAAGAAATTTAACAACATATTCAAGAGATGACGATTTGGTGATTTCTAAATAAAAAACAAGGATAAAACTGTGGGTCACATTAGTGGTTTAACTTTAAAAATATACTAACTTAAATCAACCCATATTTTTTTGGTTATACTACAATCACAAAATAAATGGGCAGCTGTTTCTTCAACAAGAGTACAAAATGAGCTTGTTTTGCCAATATCAAGATATTTAGATGATATCTTGTTGCGATTGTGATAAAGTCGAGGTCAGATGAAAACGTCAACATGGCGAATGATGTAGCTACGGCTCGCATTCATACTTCACGAGATCTGGAAGTAGGCTACTCTTTTAGTGCTCGTTAAGTAGCCTACTTGAGTGAAATTAAGTAGGCTACCTCATTGAGTATGCGGTTTCGAACGCAGCCAATGTCAGCTGCAAGTTCTTTCGTTCCCTAGTATCCTGACCATAGACTGTGGGTGCTTCTCATTTCTTATTTGTGCATCCTCGTTTCCTTCCCTCGCTTCCTTTCCTTGCGTCTCAGCTCCACCCCCTGTAGGACGCGAGAGAAGGAAGCGAGGAAAGGAAAGGAGGACAGAGGAATCGAATAAAAGCTTTTTTATATACATTGGAGTACTTGATCACTCGAGCGTCACTCCACAGTGTCATCAGCAGCGCTAAAAGGATCTGCCCTTATGTTGTTGAAGTTTGGTTATTTAATAAATTCATAATAAATAATAATAAAGATAGGCTATACTGTTGAAATATCTGAGATGTGTGGTTTATATAAACTGCAAAGGTAAAGTATAAATTAAAATGATTGTGACCGATGTGAAGGGGGAGGAGAATTGACACGTGCGTCACGTTTAGTCAACATAACAGTTCCGCGTAGGATGCACCTGTGTATCCTCGCTTATGACTCCTCAGGAAGCCTCCTATCTCCTCGATCCTCGACTCCTCACGGTGCAATTAGAGAATTGAGATGTCCTTCAAGATGGCTGAGCTCGATCGGTTTCCGGGTCATAGGAGGGAGGACGGAGGAGCGAGGAGACGAGGAGGGATATTGAGAAGCACCCTGTAAAAAATAGATCCTGACTCTTCTTTAGCGTCCTCTGTCTTTATAAAAGGGAAAGACACGACAGGACCATGTCAACTTTACCGTCAGTGGCGTCTGATTATAATAATCTTCCGCCATAGAAGTTGCCCTGCATGGTTGAGGTGAAGTCTGTCTCTTCACCACTGGATGGCACACATGCATACTAGTACTACCCTCCCCACCTCCTCCTCCTCCTCCTCCTCCTCACTTCATTGCGCAGTTTGGATCATGTTTATCAAGAGCTCCACTTTTCCCACACGCGCCGATTTGCGGGATTTTACGTGTTTCGTGGGAAATCGGTATAACATTGTACAAGGAAGAGTTCAAGTGAGCGTGTTCTCTGTGTGAGGTAGGTTTGAATGAATATTAGTTTTACTTTGTTTGCTTTGTTTTTGTTTTACTTTGGTTGCTTCGTTTTTGTGTCTGTGCTCAGAGTGTCCACTGCTGTTTTAAACCGTTTTAGGAGTTCACGAGAGCTGTTAGTTAGGAGGATATCTCTATTGAATAACAATCAGGCTGACGTGCTGTGGTTGCTGGGACAATCCTTCACAAGAATGTGCTGGACACACACACACACACACACTCCTGACAGAAAACGTTATTTAAAAAAAAAAATTAAACAAATGATTTTGTGTGTGTGTCAGATTTTTCTCACTTTTGGGTATGGTTAAGTATTAACTATTAATGATCTATTGTTTTTAAATGACGTTAATGATGAAATGCAGCTCATACAGGACAAACTTTGGCATTAACTGTTAATAACCTGTTTATGACAAAGCCTTTTCTTTTCGAGCACAAACTACACACAAAATATGGTTGTACCTTCATGATACAACCATAACATTCCCTTCCCCATTCACCATGGTAACCAACACACCATAAAACCACTGCTAAAAACACACTACTTGCTGTACCAAAATAATATCATAAATGTACTATATTAATATATTTTTACTGCTTGGTGTCTGCCACCAAGTTTATTTATACATTTAATTTATTATGATTTTACATTAGGAATGATGATTACAGTCTTGAAAAGGAAGGTTTATAGTGGAAAAAGTTTCTTTAGATTTTTAAAATGTTCTTCACACACACACGTTTGCCGAACTGTGGTTATCATGTAAGAGTTTTCAGCAAATGTGTCCATATAACATACAAATGTCATAAACACTTTATTGTACATGTCGAATATGGAGCTCTTTTAAAGTAAACTGCTCACCCACACCCTTTTTCAGTTATGAGTTATGAATTTAGTGTCTGAAATGGTTTGGAATACCCTACATTGCATTCATAGAGAGCCTACATCTTTATCGTTATCATTTTTCCCTGAGATTGTTTGATCCTTTGTGTGATGGAGGGGTTTGTGGCTCAGATAAAGGGTGTGGTGATATCATTCACTCTGTCTAGATTGGTTCTGGTATTGGTCTTCTAAAGTACATATCTTATAACCCATTTGATACCCATCAACTTTGTAAAACTCTATAAATTACCCTCATCATCATCATTTTTTGCTTTAAAATAAGTTCAAATAAGTTTGTAGGAGAGACAGAGATCTTCAAATCATTTTGCTTAAGATTCAAAAGGTTTTGAAACGAATTATATTATGTGATTTTCATTTAAAGAGTGAATTAAATGCAAATCAGGGTTTCGCCATAGAAATGAATGTTACTCCATAATATTTACATATTTCAGCATATCATGTTGTTTAGGCCGTCTAAATGCCTTAATGGATGAACATAACACCAACTACAAATATAATATATTTATTAATATATACTAGTTGATTTTCACCCCAAAAAGGCATGGATGGATGGAATTAAAAAAGCAAAATCATATTTTGCATAACTTTAGATTATATGGAACTGAGTTTAACTGACTTTTGAAATATGAGATGAACATGTTCCTGACAGGTTTCGTGAGATTCACCCTTTTTTTAGAGGGGATAAAACTTATAACGTATAAATGTATAATTTAATAGATCTACTCTATGCCTCTGAGCGACACAAACTCCAGACATTTCCTGGCAAGAACATGGGTTCCCCCCCAGTCCTCTGAATAGAGCTGAAAAACGAAACTCCTGCTGTACGTCGCCACAAGGAGAAAGCGTTATGACTAACCATCACAGGGATAAGGTTTCAAACGGGAAATAAAGGTGTCAGAATAGCAGTCCCCACAAGACAAATGAGGGTTTAAACCTCAATTTTAAATATGATAATATGGCGTTCTCTAGACTAGAGTTAAATGGTTTACAGGGCTTTTAGCTGTGGCTCGCAGAGAATGATGTCATGAAGATTAAGTTTGATGAGTGCCTTTTTACGCTCTTCACCCTTCTCTACATCATACTCGTGTTTCTCTCTCACAGGAGCATAACTCATTTACTGGTGCTCAGATGTGTGTCTGATGTCTCTGTCGGTGTTATGAAGAGGAATCTGATTTCAGAAAAAGTCGATTTCTTAAGTTAATTTTTCGTCTCTGTTTTTTGTGTTTATTTCAAATCTGGTATTATTTGAATCTCCAATCTGTTATTTAGCAGTTTATATAGTTCTTCAATGTTAAAGAGAAATTCTTTAATTGTTATGAGAAAGAGGTGAATTAAAGACTTAAAGGGTAACTAAACCCCTGGTCAGAGCCTGACTCCACCCACTGGAAATATTTGAAAATGCTGAAAAAGTGGGCGGACCCAAGCGGAGATAGAGGGGACGAAATTAATGCTAAAACACTCTATCCTGATCGTTTTCAATACTTGCAATTCCAACTCCTGACTCCCTACAGTGGTTTTGACGACACAAGATGGTTTTTATACTGCTCGCGTGGTGAGCTGAAACCTGCGTACGTCACGAAGTGCGGAACATCCAATAGGAAAATTCAACTGCAGTAGGCACCGTTCAACCTGAAGAGGGCAGCAATAAGACGTTTTTTACACCATATATTGTAGAAACAAGGCACTTTATACACAAATGTCAAAAAAGTTACTCGAAATCGAATCAATGACTGGTATTAATAAAGATCCATTCTTACAGATCATTAACTAAAAAAAGTTGGTTTAGTGTTTAGTTACTCTTTAAAGAATCAATGTTCAGAAGTTATTAACTATTATTATGTTTTGAACTATGCCGAATAGATGTGTTTTTCGGCGTGCTTGTTGTCAAACTCAAATTGTTAAAAAATAACATTATTTTATATGAAAAAGATAATAATTGTATTTTATTGAGAAAAGGTTTTAGTTTGTCTTGTTCATTTTTTGGATTAGATGAGATAACATATGGTCATGTTACAATGTTACCCCCACCTATGGGGCATGTTGTCACATTTCACTTCTTCCATTCCTTCGGGGTAAATAAAGTACTGTATTAAACAAAACCACATAATTGTACTAGACGGAATAAATATATACTGAAAACTTAGTGGATTTACACAGACTGAGGAAGTCAAGAAGTGGTTGTGCACCGCTCTCCCTTACTGTTATTTTCTGTATGACCTCTAGAGATGAGTTTTATTCATATTTCATGATTACAAATTTACAAATCAGTACACTGTAAAGTGTGGCTAACTGAGTTTACTTTAAAAAAGCCAGAAAAATAATTGCTTTTTTAGGAAAATTAAGTGAATAAGCCTTACTGCAATTATAGAATTGTTTGGTATACACTCACATAAAGGATTATTAGGAACACCACAGTAATACTGTGTTTGACCCCCTTTCGCCTCCAGAACTGCCTTAATTCTCTGTGGCATTGATTCAACAAGGTGCTGAAAGCATTCTTTAGAAATGTTGGCGACTCATATTGATAGGATAGCATCTTGCAGTTGATGGAGATTTGTGGGATGCACATCCAGGACACGAAGCTCCCGTTCCACCACATCCCAAAGATGCTCTATTGGGTTGAGATCTGGTGACTGTGGGGCCATTTTAGTACAGTCAACTCATTGACATGTTCAAGAAACCAATTTGAAATGATTCCAGCTTTGTGACATGGTGCATTATCCTGCTGGAAGTAGCCATCAGAGGATGGGGACATGGTGGCCATAAAGGGATGGACATGGTCAGAAACAATGCTCAGGTAGGCCGTGGCATTTAAACGATGCCCAATTGGCACTAAGGGGCCTAAAGTGTGCCAAGAAAACATCCAACACACCATTACACCAACATGACTTTTGCGTAAATATACACCCCACTTTCAAGTCAAGTTGTGTGTTATCTATACGCATTTTGAGCTATCCGCGTGTATGCATGTATTTCTACGGTGTTAATTGTCCGAGTGATTCTGCATGTATGTACACACCGTTAAATGTCTGAGCGAAATGAAGCAAAATGTAGATCTACATCTGGGGAGCGATAGTTTTTTTTTGCTAGGATGGTAGAGGAAGACTCATAAATGCTATTAACCCCAGTGACGGTTAGGTTTAGGGACGGGGTTGGGGTAAGTCATATATTCATATATACAGTAATGTAACGTTAAGTCAACGGCGTTCATAAATAGGCTGAAAAGCGATTCGTGTTGATAGCACGCCAAAAATGGAAATAAGAATTGGTGTGTCATACATATGCTATTCCATGAGATCAGTCTGATTACACCACCACCACCAGCCTGCACAGTGGGAACAAGGCATGATGGATCCATGTTCTCATTCTGTTTACGCCAAATTCTGACTCAACCATCTGAAATCGAGACTCATCAGACCAGGCAACATTTTTCAAGTCTTCAACTGTCCAATTTTGGTGAGCTCTTGGTCTCCTGCTGTTGTAGCCCATCCGCCTCAAGGTTGTGTGTGTTGTGTCTTCGCTGAATACCTCGGTTGTAACGAGTGGTTATTTCAGTCAAAGTTGCTCTTCTATCAGGTTGAATCAGTCGGCCCATTCTCCTCTGACCTCTCGCATCAACAAGGCATTTTCACCCACAGGACTGCCGCATACTGGATGTATTTCCCTTTTCACACCATTCTTGTAAACCCTAGAAATGGTTGTGTGTGGAAATCCCAGTAACTGAGCAGATTGTGAAATACTCAGACACTAACAACCATGCCACGCTCAAAATTGCAGTTGCAATTCAGTTTGGAGTTCAGGAGATTGTCTTGACCAGGAACACACCCCTAAATGCATTGAAGCAACTGCCATGTGATTGGTTGATTAGATAATTGCATTAATGAGAAATTGAACAGGTGTTCCTAATAATCCTTTAGGTGAGTGTATAAACAGAGTTTTCCATTCAAACTTCAATCACATTTTCTGATCTCTCACGATGTGGGAACCCCGTTGCCCATGCAGACATGCAATATGCATCCAGTATACTGACTAGTTTATGTGCTCTTGAGTCTGTTGTCATTGTGTGTTACATAGTAAATAGTTTTGTT